TATAATATAATATAATATAATATAATATAATATAATATAATATAATAATAATAATTAAGTTCGATTTTTATTACTGTTAACTAAAATTTGCGAAGAATATCAAATGTTCTTAAAGCTTTCATAGATTTCCACAGATCACGGCAAAAAGTTGTTAAAAACCAAAAACAAAGTTCTGGCAACAAGCACATAGATAAAGTCGTAAGGTCCACTAATTCATTCGTCGAATGTTATCTTATGTTATGACATTTCTGTACCTTCCGTGTATCCGCTGATGTTTAACTGCATGGACCATTGTGTAGTCGTCGCGGATCATCTGCGCGAGTCGTAAGAACTTAGTAAAATTAACCTAATAGTCTCCAAACTAAACCTAATTTCATACACGTTTATTAATCCCTGCTCTTCACTCATTATGTCGTCTGCAATTAATACCAACCAAGCATACCCAACTAGAAGCTTTTAAACGAAAAGCACTTTTAAAGTTTGCTGTTTAAAATAAACACATAAGCACGCTTTTCAATTTAAGCGTAAGCGATGGTCTGTTAAATACTCAACAATTTCATTTTTTACATCGTGCTTATGATTCAAGTTCCACCATCTATGTTTCAGAAACAAATTAATTCGTCAATGTGATTAATTATTTTATAAATACAAATAACCTCGTATATGGAGTTCTTAGGTTTTCGCGATTGTAATGAAACTATTTTTCAGGGTTTAAATCGCGTATATTTGTTTTTTCTAACAAATCAACGTTTCGGGCCCTTTACGGGTCCCATAGTCACAAATGACCATCAGTCACCCAAAATATATCCTAAGTTTATAAATCCGGAAAAATAATTTCATTTCGTACTTTACAAATAAACTTGCCTAGCTTAAAACCTTTAGTAGTCTACTGTACGCTTATTTGGTGCTACATTGATGTAATTGTAATTTTGGCAAATTTGGATAAAGGATGTTAATACGTAATTAATTAAGTCTTAATTCAATTATGCCAAAATTGCAATTAAGTCAATGTTGCACTAAATGAGCGTGTAAGTTTTCGTTATCAACACAACATTGCAAGCTTTTTTAACTTATAAGTCTATGCTCATAAACGTTGTTCTAAACGATTTTGTAAACTTCAAACTAGAAAGCGTTTAAGTGAAAAGCAGACTTTTTTGAAAAAACACAACGTCTTAACATTTAAAAATCTAAGCAGTTTTTTTCCATCTCTATAGCTGACTACTTCCATGATATTCTAGTCATCTTTCATGTTCTGGAGGTGACAGACGATCTTAAAAATTTCGTACTGCAGATGTCATTATGGTAATTAAAAAGTTGGAGGATGTCCTGAAGAAAAATGGCATGCAATCGCGCGTTTCACGAACGCGCGTTTGCGTCGTAAAATTTGCCGTGTGTAATTACTCTTACAGATGTGACATTACACGAAGGGTGAGAGTTTCCGATTAGTTTTTTATGCTCGGTCAATCATAACAATTACTTCCCTGGTGCGGAAATTTGGCATTGAGTTAACGTCTATAACGACTTTGAAAATATACAAAACAACAACATTGACTACCTTGATCGCAAAACTCATTAAAATACAAACCAAAAGGACTGACGGAAAGAACCATGCCATCAGTATTACGCGTGTAGCAGCAGCAAATATTTAACTCGTTCAAATATCAATCAAGTAATAAATTTAATTGCAGGTATCTTTAGAATAAGGACTCTTTGTAGCTTTAATTGGACGTTAATGATAATAATCGAACTCTCAATTATTAAAATTATATTTTACGTGCACATTCATCTCAAATCCATTCAGTTTTGCATTTAGCAAACTCATTTGTCGGCAACAAAACAATAAACTGTTTTAATTAATAAAATGATTAAATACATAATTGCCTACCTGTGAATAAAGGCTTTGTTTAATTTGTTTCAATAATTTAAAATTTCATCTTCATCGTTATAGTAGAAGAAACCAACAAGGCTTGAAATATTTCAAATTGAATATGATCGCTCTGTTAACATTCGTGTTATTCCCGCTAAAGACATATTCTTTATTCCAACCAGTGCTACTGATTTTCTCCGTTTTGGTGAAATTTATAATTAATTACAACTTGCATTACTATTCCTTATAGAAGTAGTCTACATATTATCTTGAGACAATAAAATTGGTCTTTATGAACAATACACTGACACTCAGGTCGTATTAAATTTATTAACCGACTTGAAAAAAAGGAGGAGGTTCTCAATTCGACTGTACGTTTTTTTAATGTATGTTACGAGATAACTCCGGAATTTGTGCACCGATTTTCATGACTCTGTTTTTTGGTGGAAAGAGGATTCCATTTAATTTTGAAGAAAATCATCCACCTCTAAGAGTGGCTGTTCACGCATGAAGATCCAATTTTATAAATAAAGCCTAAATCTTATTATAAGAAGCAATTATTTTAATACTCTAATTCAAGGTGTTTTTCTCAACAATATACTTTGAGTAGTGAGAACCGATTTTTATTATCTCCTGTGTCAAGTCCCGTACAGTTGTTGGCCACTAGGGGATGAATCCGGGTTTGCGCAATTTCCGGTAACCGATTTCAAAAAAACTTGGCAAATAGATGTAATTCCACGTACTTGAGGTTGCTTTTTTTAGTACTCTGTACTGAGAATATTATAAGTTAGTAATATTGGCGTCAATTGGCGCAAACGACGTCTATCGTAATTTGAGTTCAATGACAGTTTCTTTCCTTCTAAATCGGCTTCTTATAAATTTAGTTGTACGTGTGGCGCACTATAAGTTTTCGGAGTGAATAAGAAAAAAAAACTATATATGGTCAGAAACGAATTTATTGTTTCTCAAAATATTCTCCGTTAGCGTTAATGCACTTTTTCATAGGAATGAACCAATTCTGAAAACATTTATGCCACTCCTCCGTGACAATCTCTGAAACATATTTTATACTCTTCGACAGCCTCTTCAGGTGATGAAAATCGTTGACCGCGTAACTGGTTCTCAATTATATATAGAAATAAATAAAAGTCACAAGGTGCCAGGTCAGGACTGTACGTGGGTTGGCACATAAGGTCAACGTTGTTCACCTTCAAAAATTCTTTTGTCTGTCTGACCGTGTGACAGGCATTACTGTGGTGCAAGATGATACGACGTTTAGGGTTATTTTTATGGAGTTTGTCAATAACTTCCGGCAAACATCGTGTACCAATCTTTCATGGTACCACGATTTTCCAAAGCAACAGTAGCCACGTGTCCAGTTTTATTAAAAAAAGAAGCAATCATCCGCTTAGAGGCACTTTGCATGCGCCACTTTGGTTGGTTTCAGCTCATCTCAAATTCAAATTCAAATTCGAAATAATCTTTATTTCATAGGTAAGCATTATTACACTTGAAATCGTC